TACTGAATAGAGTTAAAAAATGGCAATATTATAAAATCACTATCAAGTGATGAAAATTATAAATACAGTACTTTGGAATACTAGAAGCAGATAACATCCTGCACACAAAGGTTAAAAACTGACAGAAAGGGAATATATCAAAATCAAAATTCAATGGTGGAAATACAATCAAAGCCATAAATATGTGGGAAGTTCTGATAATTAGATACCCAGCTGGAATAATAGATTGGAACCAAAACAAATTAGAATTGGATCAAAAAACACAGAAACTAATGAGCATGCATCACGCACTACATCCAAAAAGTGATAAAGAAAGAAAGAAAGAAAGAAAGAAAGAAAGAAATGGTTCATTTGATGAAATGGGAGAGAAAAATTACTTAAGATGGTGAAAATGGAGAACATTTTCATAGAATCATCATCATCATCATCATCATCATCATCATCATCATCATCACCAGCATAATACTTTGGTTGCTATTTTATTATAAAATTGATTTTGAACTTCAAAAAATAAAATTGTCACTCTGAACATGTAATTTTTGTTTGCAGAACCACCCAAACATTTAACCCTTTCAGAGACTGTAGGTAAGCTCTTTCTTTAAGAATTGTGTCAAGTTCTAAACAAGTATATTTCAGTCATTGTATTCCTATAAGCAATTTTGATTAGCTTATATCCATGGCTCCACTTTCCCTGGTTGACCTAAAACCCTTTGTACTTAAGTTTCCTTCGCATTCATCCAGAAACATAAAAGATTTCATTGGATATTGTGAAGTCAAATATGAGAAGTAAAGGATGGAAATGAGCATAAGAGTGCCTGTAACAGGAGGTAAGTTTCTGTGGAGGTAGGATGAACCTGAGTAAACAGAAGACATGAACTTCAGAAATGTGGCCTGATATCACTTCATGGGCTAGGAGGGATATGGAACCTGAGGGATTCTCAGGAGAAGCTGAAAAGACCAATCTTTTTGGCAGAAGTATGGAACAAGAGATCTACAAGGCAAGCTATGCAGAACAAAATTGTAGATTGGCATACATCTTGCAGTAGCTGGTCAGAACTAAAGAATAATGAAAATGACTGGGGAATTCTCAGAAAAGAGTTTCTTTTCCAGAGAGTTTAATGATGAGCTAGGTCAACGATGCCTGAACAGGGCAACAGCTGCTATACATCTGAGAAATTATTGGGGGGGTGGCTGGGAGGTGTGAGGGGAAAGAAGGTGAGGGGAAAACGAAGGATAAAATATTAAGGACTACCAAGTTTGTTTGAGTGTAAACTGTCATGGATTAAAATCTACCTCCTCGGGCACTGCTTGGCGGAAGGAGTGAATAAACATTCTAAAGGGAATGCTCATTGATTCAAATCCTTGTCTACAGGGCCATTTGGTGGCCAATAGTGAGAGGGCAGAAAATAGCTGTGACATATTGTAGAAAAGCTGTCCTCCATTTTATGGTGCTTTTTAGCCTCATAGCCTTCAGCGATGGTAGAAGGTGTTCTACTATTGCCAGCGTTGAAGTAAAATTCAGACGACAATCTGGTCAACTTCTGAACTGGGGATGGAAGGGAATCTCATCATGTCTTCCTCCCCAGAAATAAAAGTGTGTTAGGATAGTATTGGAGGAAAGCTGCATCTGAGTGCAAATGAATTAAGGAAGGCCCAGTTTTGATTAATCCTGGCAGCTTTTCAGGTTGGGATACCGAGCAGAGAATATGTATTATGTTTACATTCAGCCATTATTTTTTCTACTCAAAATGACTTCCCAGGTGTTTCTTTCATGGCTAGGTTCCAGATTACATTAAAAGTGCAAACTTATATGTGTCTACTCAGAAGTATGTCCAACTGAATTCATAGGGGTATATTGTACTGAATGATAAGTTCTTTACTGTTGAAAAATCCATTTGGAGCCTCATAGGATTGCAGAAAGAGGGTGCTTTGGAAAAATAGCTGTGAAGAATCGTTCATCATTCTTCCCACCACCTGCTTGCCCATTTTGCAGCCTTCTGAGTCTGCTTTTCAGTGAAGGGGATTGTAACTTAGGAAGGGAATAAAAATAGCCAAGTATCTAATGTACTCTTATCTGAAGGGGAAAGGTGTGTTGTCTTGACAGAAGTGACAGTGAAAGAAAAAAATATTAGGACAATAAAGACAGAGACGTTTCATATACTGATGCCACTGTGTTCATTTCCTAATAGCTGCCCCCCCCAAGAGTCTGTATAAAAAAATGGAATTCAGGTGTATATATGATGAAATATACCTTCAAGTTCTTTTCATCTGAAATGTAGAATTCACTACTGTGAGATATTGTCATATCTTTGGACTTTCTTCTTTCGTTCAAACAAACTAGTTTATCTTTATAACCATAAATTTCATTTCCCACTTTTTTATGAGGCAACAGACTCTCAGTGCCGACCCCAAACATCACTAGAACTAATGGTAATTTCTTAAATGCTGCACTATTTGAGGCATACTTTAACACACAAATGCGCTCACATTTGTATCACAAGGAGCATCAAAGCATTGGCTCAAAGTTGTTTTCATGCACTTTTATATCAGCCCAGTTAATAGCCACTCTCTTCCACCTGAGAGACCAAATAGAGGATGGTGGTCCTTTCCTCAACCTTGCACTCTCTAGACATGGTGGATTACAATTTTTATCACTCCTGACCCCACAGCCATACTATGCTGATGGGAGTTGTCTGAAGTCAGCAGATTGTGGGAGGAGGTTCTAGACATAAATACCACTGTCATGGTGAGCTCCAGATTGTGACCATTTATTTGGTCTAATGGAACTCCCAGGGGAGAAGTGAGTTGGCATCGCTGAGTCCCAAAGCCTGCTTTGCATGCTTATAATAAGGCAAAGGTACTAATGCTAAACAGGTTGGGTACGGCTGTGCAGGAGACTACCTGGGAATCTGATGGATGCTACCCTGAGTTTCACTGTGGCTAAAAAAAGGGGGTTCTTACTTCAGCACGCGTAGCATTGCAAAGTACCAATTGTATACTGATGGCCGCAAACCCATGCAGATATATCTGGAGGTTCCAATGAATTCATAGGATTGTTTGGCAAATTAATAAATGAGTTATGTGAGTCACTCTTAGAGCCAAAGGAGCCTTTTTGAAGAGGGCATCCCATAAAAGGGAAATGTATCATTACCAATATGTTTGTAGATGTATTTCTCTTAGTGGCACCCACACTTTTTTCACCTCTTATTCTTTACTCTTGAGTTCTTTATGTTTAATAATGTTTGTGTCGGACGAGGAATTAGAAAAAGTTATATCTGAGGAAAAGATATGTGCTGACATAAAAAATAAAGTGGTACCAAGAGGGCAAATGAAGTTTGAAATGATTTCCTCCGAGTGCTATTAACTCTTCTTAAAGTGATTAATTCTGCACTAGTGCCTACAAAGTGAAGCTATATTATCTCTCAGAAGAGTCTCACACTAATGAAGGTGACATTTTTTTTTCATTCTCTAAAATGCTCTAGTGGCATTTGCTAATTCATTTTTTTGCAACACCCCTGCAATGTAAGTGAGCAATAATAGCAAACTTCCTATTTAATAAATGTTCCTATTTAATACAGTTAAAGCCAATGCTATTGCAACTGCTAGTGAAAGGAAGGAAGGCAAAGAATATAGGTCAAAAATGAGGGGCAGGTGAACCTCCAGATGTTGTTGGACTACATTTAATCATCATCATCATCATCATCTTAGAACTGCGGAGCTGCAAAGAACCCTATGGATGTTTGAGTCCAGCCCCTGTCAAGGGGACACAGTGGGAAATCAAACTCCAAAGCCCTGGCTCTGAAGCCAGATTCCTATCCAGCAAATCATTCATTCATTTGTTCATTTTCTATCGTTCTTCAGTATTGACTGTGCTGACCAGGACAGATGGGAGTTGCAATGTAATGACATGCAGAGGGCCACTGGTTCTCATCCTCACCGCTGGTGTAAATACTGATTTCCCCGACAGCTCAGATTTCAAAGTATTACTGTGCTGCTGTTTCTCTGGATAACCAAATGCAAAGATTTTGCTACAGGAAAAATGCACCCACTATGACTTAGATCCAGATAGCTGTGCTGAGGTCCCATTGAAATAAATGAGAGAAATTAGTTATGGTCACAAACAAATCCCACTGAACTCAGTGGCATCTAAGTGCAATTAACTCTTGATCAGCATCCAGTCATATGACCCACAGCTGTGTAATGGAAGCACAATTGAGTTGGGCCTAAAGAACTCCCCTCCTCCAGAGCTAACGCTTTCTAGAACATGGTAAACAGTGATATAGAACTGCTGGGTAGCCCAGTAGTTTAGATCTCTAGTTGTGGAGCCAGAGGTTGGGGGTTCAGTTCCCCACTGAGCCTCCCTGACAGGGGCTGGACTCGATGATCTAGAGCTCTGCAATTTTAAGATGATGGTGGTGGTGATGATCAGCAGGTGGGATTTAAAGCAAAAATGACCTAGAAAACACACATTTTCATGCCTTGTCTACAAGCAAGCAAGACAGACAGGAAGGAAGGAAGAATGGAATCTACTTTTCTTTCCTCCACTTATCTATCTATCTATCTATCTATCTATCTATCTATCTATCTATCTATCTATCTATCTATCTATCTATCTATCTATCTATCTATCTATCT